TTCTCAAAAGCTTTCTGTATTTCTTCGAGCCTTTCGTGATATTTCATTGCCTTCGTTAAAACAGACTCTGAATTCTTAAAGGCATCCGTGTAAGTCTCGAATGTACCTTTGAGTTCACTCAAATCTCTCCATGGTTTGAACAGAAGAAGCAGCGAGTAAAAGTATTTTTCGGGCTCAGTTTTTATATTAAATCGATAATGGTTAATTAAATAACCCTTTTTTCGTTTTTTTAAAATAAACCCGATGCCAGTTTGTAACACTTGACTTCGTCATTATTTGGCATCTGTTTCGTAATTTCCCAGAATCTGGCAAAATCGTACAAATTCAATGATTCTAATTCCTGAGGTCTATTTGGATAGTAATCATCGATGAGTGACGAACAGTAAATATTCGTAGAATTTTCATCGAGAGCTTAAATTTCATTAAATGTTTTAACTTTTCTATTTCTCACCTCATTAACATCGATCCATTTGACCATGGTATCATTATCCGTACCGTACAAGGGATTCCCTAATAGTGTATCCGCAGCTTCTAAAGCACCGCATTCTCTGTTATTTAATGAACGCATTGCAAAATTCCACAGTTTCGATGCCAAGGACTTATTCGAATCTATCACTTCAAAGTCTGTATTGCATTTTTCCGACTTTGTCGTGTATTTTGTTAAATATGAGTTTAAAAACTCTGATTTTTCTCAATAAATTGTATGTCCATATTTCCCTCCCAGGCTAATTTGATAGCCGGATTATAATCATTTATAAACCTTTCCGACTCCTTGCGAGGAAGATCGTACAATCTGCTCTTACTGCGTAAATTTTTTCTACCGACTATCGAAGTGATAACGTCTCTTAAAACGAAATTCTCAGTAACTGGCCGAGGAAAATCGAACCGACACTTTCTGTATATATTAGTTTCCGTTTTTTTCGTACGCATGCAATACGAGTTATGTTTATGATTCTGATCACTTATTACCGTATCGTACAACGTTGGCGAAACATTTTCATCTGGAATTTCACACGTTACGTATTTTCGAATAAACGTAGCAACTTCTTCATCCGGCGATTTTCCTAATACTGGAGCATCTTTTATCCAAATCATACAATGCATGTGCTGATACCTCTACTTTGATATTCCAGTCGCCAGAAGTAATGAATAACCTTTCCTATTGGATTATCGGACGAACAAATAAAATCAATCATGGCTTTGAATTTTATGCACATGAATCTAGAAGTACTTACAGGATCGTATGCGATTAGTTCGCTGATGCCTAACTTCTCTTTATCGGGATTCATATCTCGTAAATATTCACCCAAATCGGACCATTTCCATTCACTAGGACTCAAAGTCAAAAACCACGTCGCTGGACCGTAATGCAAAGTCATGCATTTTACATTATTGGACGGTTGTCGCCAAAATTGATCCGTATTTCTCAATTTTGCGAAAATACTCATTAAATTCGATTCTAATTGGTAACCTTTCAATTCGTTCAAGTATCTACCAGCAGTGTATCTCTCTCGTGGGTTAGTAACCATCATCGTATAATAGATACCACTTTTCAACTGTCGGTAGTTAGCATCATTGAGAAGGAAAAACAGATACTGCAGATTCAACCTGAATCTACTATGTTTCGACATCAATCGTGTTCTAATAAATAAATATTCCGGCAATGCAAAGTTTCTATCTTCTCGTTGTCCATTGACACCATCAGGATATAAATCAGGGAAACACATGACATCCAGATATTTATAACGATTATCCATTGGAAAATCTTCAATTTTCATCATTTGATAAAGCTTCAATGCAGATTCGTTATCGATTCTTTTCGCGTGTATTGGGTATATTGTATACTGATCGTTAATATCCGAATCTTCAGTGATTTGTGTGAGGAAAGCCCTACGTTTTAAAACGATTTGATCATTATTATTTTTGTTTTCCTGTACATTGTACAAATTCAATGCTGGTAATTCCTCAACCACCTCATTTATTTCGTCATTGTCGCTTTCCTCATCGACAATCCGATATTCTGTTTCCTGCAACTTATCCTTTAATAGATCATCAGATGACGCTGGAAGACGAATTTTTGAGTAATGAGGATTATTTTCTTTCAACCATTGTAAAGCCTTATACATTTTATTAATATCTACCAAATTTTCCCAAACCACTTTAGATTTCTTGGGTATACCTCGAACGAGAATGTGCAACTCGTGATTCAAATTTATAGGATCTTCCGGAGGACATACCTTATCCAATGTTTCTTGTAAAGGCAGAGGCAAATGAAATGTTCTACCTTTTCCTAAACAGAGTTTGATTATATAAGTTTCTTGATTTAAAATGTGCTATATTTAAATCATTTAATTATTTTTTTCGTTCAAGTACAATTAACAGCAAAAACTGCATATACGTAGGTATGTATTTGACTCTACTGCCATTACTTGAAACAAATACATTATTCGATATTAACAAATTGGAACTCTGGAATTACGAGTAATTATTTTTCATTGTACAGACTAAGTTTAAATTTTTGAGGACCTTCTTTTGAACATGGCTTGACCTTTTCATTTTTATGATTTTTTGGAGATAGGGTGAGAGAGGACGAATGAGGGTAAGAGAAGACGAGATAGGCGAAAAAGGGTGAAAGAGAACGAAAGAGGGTGAGAAAGGACGTACGAGGGTGAAAGAGGTGAGAGAGGGTGAGAGAGGACGAAAGAGGGTGAAAGAGGACGAAAGAGGTCGAAAGAGGGTGAGAGAGAACGAAAGAGGGTGAAAGAGACGAAAGAGGGTGAGAGAGGACGAAAGAGTGTGAAAGAGGTCGAAAGAGGATGAGAGAGGGCGAAAGAGGGTGAGAAAGAATGAAAAAGGGTGAGAGAGGACGAAAGAGAGAGAAAGAAGGTGAAAGAGGACGAAAGAGGGTAAAAGAGGGTGAGAAAAATGAAAGAGGGAGAGAGGACGAAAGAGAGTGAAAGAGGACGAAAGAGGGTGAAAGAGGACGAAAGAGGGTGAGAGAGAATGAAAGAGGGTGAAAGAAGACGAAACAGAGTGAAAGAGGGTGAGAGAGAATGAAAGAGGGTGAGGAGAGGACGAAAGAGGGTGAGAGAGAATGAAAGAGGGTGAAAGAGGACGAAAGAGGGTGAAAGAGGACGAAAGAGGGTGAGAGGAATGAAAGAGTTGAAAGAGGACGAAAGAGGACGAAAGAGGGTGAGGTAGGACGAAAGAGGGTGAAAGAGAACGAAAGAGGGTGAAAGAGGACGAAGGGGTGAGAGGGAATGAAAGAGGGTGAAAGAGGATGAGAGAGAATAAAAGAGAGTGAAAGAGGACGAAAGAGGGTGAGAGGGGCGAAAGAGGGTGAAAGAGGGTGAGAGAGGACGAAAGAGGGTGAAAAAGGCGAAAAGGGCGGAGTGTGGGTGGGGTTGGGTGGGGGTGGGGGTGGGGCGGGATGTGGGTGGGAAAGGGTGGGTGGAAGTTGAGGGAGGTGTGAGTGAAAGGTGAGAAGAGATTTATACGCGGACAGAGAAGAAGAAAGAAGAAGAAGAAGAAGAAGAAGAAGAAGAAGAAGACGACGTTACTTCATTTTTCATGAAAAACGTCACTTTTTGACCGCTTGTATCTCCAGAACGGCTTGACCGATTTTATTTTTTTTTGGCTCAAATTACTCGTGGCGATGCCGCCTTTCAGGTTATATTACGTGCAATTCAAAATTTTTTATATTTTAGTAGTTCTACACCCCCAAAAAATGGACTTTGATGGTGCAGGATAAGGAGACTTGTAGTGTCTTTTAAGGTCTTTTAGGGTTTGAACATGGCCGGAGACACTACCGCGTCTCCTGATATATATATATATATATATATATATCTCTCCCCCTGCTTGATTGTTCTATTTTCTTTCATTCCTATTTGTTAGTCATATTCCTTCTTTTCTCTCTACATGAAGATAAATTATAATATTGCTGACAATTGATCGCAATTTACAACTATTTATGAATAAAATTAGAAATCGAAAAAAAGTTCGATAATTATATTATAATACATATATACTTTATCAATTTGTATATATATTAAATAAATATTATGTTATATATATTTAAAATTTGTTTGTATTTTTTTATTTGCAGTAATAATCTTTCTGACAATAGCTATATATAAATCAATAAAAAGATTCATTACATTTCAATATACTTTTTATTATTATTATATATATATATATATATTATATAATTGGTATGTATTTTTTACATTTATAGTAAGAATAATCTTTATAACAATTGATCAATTTATTGCTCTTTACGAACTAAGAATAAAATTCAGTAAAATCAAATATGCATGCTTGTTGCGTACGCGAAGTGGGTTCCCCTTTTTTCTTTTTCGCGTTGACCGCGGACGCCGGTATCGCTCAGAGAGAGCGCGAAGGAAAGAGCAGCTGACAGGAGAACTCTCGAGAGATATCACTCCGAATGCAGAATCACAAAGTAGTTTATTTGTCGATTACACGTTCAGTCTTAGAAGTTATGTTCGAATTACTCAACCGATCTGTAGTCGTTCTGATTATCGATGTCGTTGACTTCACAATTTTTCGAGGAGTGAACGCTCAGAGTCGGGGCGTTCTTCGCCGAGGCGCGAGATTTCGACACGACCTCTTGGAGGGGACGCTCGTTTTTTCGAAGAATCACGATTGGCCGGTATTGATTTCCGATCGAGTGAAGGAACCGAAATCACGCGGTCAACGGCTGATTGCTCCGATCGATCAATATTGTTAACTGCTGTCCTTGCCTCGCTGGCGGGACATAACAAATTTGTTTTGAAAAAGCGGGTTCTTACCTCTAACGTTTATTTTTGACTTACAATTAATTTGACACGAAATTACCCTTCAAATTATTTGTCTGTTTCTCAACATACCGCCCACCTCGAAACAATAGTTTCGAAAAAAAAAGATGCGAGTGACTCATGAGGCAGAAAAGATTTCGAGTAGAATTGAGCGAGGCGTTCGGCCTGTCGAGGCGAGACTTGACATCACTTGTCGGCGCTTTCCGACTTTTCAATATCGATCGGCAGAAGGCACAGTCTACCGATCGGACGCTTGTACTCGGACGACGCCGTTTTTACCGTAACAACGCGGACCAATTCGTCGAGACCCGGGTGACACAAAACAACGCGGCCGAGCTCCCACTTGCACGGTGGAAGCAGAAGATTGCGAAGCAAAACCAATTGTCCCACTCGAATATTTGGCTTCTTAATATGTCGCCATTTTCTCCGCTGTTGCAGCATGTTAATATAATCGCTCTGCCACAACTTCCAAAGACGTTCGGTGAGCTGCCGAACCAACTGCCATCGAGATAGGCGATTTTCTTTTACCTGTAACAGGTAAGGCTCCGGACTCGAGTTAAGAGCGGCACCAATGAGAAAATGCCCGGGGGTCAGCGGATCGTATGTATCTATCGAGTCGGAGAGCGGCGCTATGGGCCTAGAGTTGAGGCAAGCCTCGACGTTACAAAGAAGCGTGGAGAATTCTTCGAACGTCAGCGTGTGCGCTCCAACCACCCGGCGAATGTGGTGCTTCACGCTTCGTACACCGGCCTCCCATAGGCCGCCAAAATGAGGGGCGGAGGGAGGCAGAAAATGCCACTCGACATTGTCCGAAGCCGTCCTGTTCAAAAAAACGGGATCGCGAAGAGCCGCTCTAAACGCGAGTGTGAGGTCGCGGTCCGCTCCGACGAAGGTGGTCCCGTTATCGGAGTACACCGCCGTCGGAAGACCCCGTCGAGCCACGAATCGCGAATAGGCCCCCAAAAATGCCGGAGTGGCGTACCCCTCGACCAACTCCAAGTGTACCGCGCGCGTTGCCATACACACGAATATGGCGATGTAGGCCTTTCGGGAGGCCACTCCGCGTCCAGACATCGCTCGAACAAGTATCGGGCCAGCATAATCCACTCCGCAATGAATGAATGCGCGCGCGGGAGGAGAGACTCTGCATTGCGGGAGGTTCCCCATAAGTTGTGTCGGGACGGCAGCTCGCTCGCGAGTGCACGCGACACACCGATGGATGACCGATCTGACCGCACCGCGAGCTCGGATCACCCAGTACCTTCGCCGCAGCGTAGCCAGGGTAAGCTGGATGCCGGCATGGAGATATCGCTTGTGAATATCCTGTATGAGGAGCTGGACGAGAGGATGGGGCGCGAGAACGATCGGATGTTTGACGTAAGCCGGGATGGGCGCCCGCGACAACCGCCCACCAACACGAATTATTTGATCTTCGTCCAAATACGGCGCGAGAGGCAACAGTACGCTTTTCGATGACAGCGCGTCTCCCCTTCGAAGCGCGGTCAGCTCGCGCGCGAATAGCTCCGCTTGAATGGTTTTTACCCAAAAGTTCGTCGCGCGTTGAATTTCGTGACCCGTCAAGGATGAGGGACTCTCGACGCGCTCAGCCGGCAACGTGATACGTCCGCGAGTACGCGAGATAAATCGCATAACGTAGGCGGTAATGCGCAGTAACTTCGTCCACGACGAGTAGCGCGCGGCGAGATCCCATACGACAGGGTCTCTCGATATCGCGACGAGAACCTGCGTCTTTACATTTTGTTCCATTGAGGTCTCAGGGTGAGGGTCGACAGGCACCGGCCAGTCGGAGATCGGAAGCCTAAGCCACAATGGACCATGCCACCACAACGGATGGGATGCGAGCTGATGCCCGGGAATTCCGCGAGACGCGCAGTCGGCGGGGTTGTCGATGGTGGGCACGTGTCGCCACGAAGCGGAGGGAAGTCGGGTCTGGATTTCCGCGACGCGATTTGCCACGAACGTTTGCCACCGTGACGGATGTTGCGTAACCCACGCAAGGACGACCGTGGAGTCCGTCCAGCAGTAGCACGGAACCTCGGAAAGGTGGAGAGACGCGATCACGAACTCCATTAATCTGGAGAGCAGCACCGCCGCTGCGAGCTCCAATCGCGGAATGCTCAGCGATTTAACGGGTGCGACCCTAGACTTTCCGACGAGGAGCATCGAGGTGACCTCTCCGGAGATCGAAAGAAGCCTCAGATAAACTACGGCTGCATACGCTTGAGAGGACGCGTCCGAGAACCCGTGCAGCTCGCAGGCCGTTGTATCCGATCCGCGTCGAACCCATCGATCGAGCTGAAGGCCATCAAGTGACAGAAGTGACGCCCGAATAACTTCCCACTCATCAGCGAGGTCGGGGGGAAATTGGTCATCCCAGTCGAGCTGTGATTGCCACAGTCGCTGAAGAAAGATTTTTGCCGTTATTGTGACCGGAGCACTCCACCCCAACGGATCGAATATTCGCGCGATATTCGAGAGAGTCGATCTTTTCGTTATCGAGACGGAGGGAGGGCAGGAAATGCGGAATTGAAATACGTCCTTAGCGGGGTGCCAGCATATCCCAAGGACTTTAACCTTTTCGCCTGGTTGAAGGTCCTTGCTGCATGCCAAACCGTGATCGCTGTCATCAATGTCGCTCAGAAGAGCCGACGAGTTACTGGACCACTTGCGCAAATTGAACTGGCCGCAGCGCAGCAGTGAGCACACTTGCTCGCGCGCCTGCCGAAGCAGAGGGATATCGTCGGCGCCGAACAAGACGTCGTCAACATAAATGTTATCCGTCAGGACGGACACGGCTAACGGATAGGAATGTCCTTCATCGCGGACCAGTTGGCGCAGCACTCGTAACGCCAAAAACGGCGCCGACGCCATGCCGTACGTCACGGTCAAGAGCTCATATTCCTGCACGCGCTCCGTCTCGGTATCCACCCATAATATGCGTTGATAATTTGTGTCACGCGGATCAACGACGATCTGCCTATACATTTTCTCGACATCGGCCGAGTATACGTAGCGAAACTGTCGCCATCGCATCACGACCGCCGCCAAGTCCGTTTGTAGTTTCGGTCCTGGAAGTAAACTATCATTAAGCGATTTCCCGCTAGACGTTAGACTCGACGCATTGAATACCACGCGCAAGTGTGTGGTCGCACTACCGTCGCGAAAGACGGGATGGTGAGGAATATACACGCACTGAGAGGATTCTGAGAGAGGTGAGGCTTTGCGCATGTGTCCCAGAGCTTCGTATTCCCGCATGAAATTGAAATATTGTTGTTTTAGCTCGGCGTTAATTTCAAAGCGTCGAAGTAAGCCTTTTAGACATCGCTCAGCGGTATCGCGAGAACGACCGATATTAATGGGAGGATCACGTTTGAATGGAAGGCGCACAATGTATCGGCCGTCGGAACAACGCGAATGAGTGGTCATGAAGTAATCCTCGCATCGTTGTTCCTCCGGGCCGAGTACAGTCTGTCGCGGAACTTCCTCGATCTCCCAAAATCTTCTCAGTTCGCGATCGAGCGCAAGCGACGTTGAGGCCGAACAATGTTGAACAGTGATTGTTCGGCGGGATTGAAGTGAAACATTCGTAGGGCCGGATACTGCCCATCCAAAAATAGTATTTAATGCATAGGGCTGCCCGCGAGGTCCCTTCCGCATTTCGCCAAGGAATATCTCGCCATAGATATCGGCGCCGATGAGGAGCTCAATGGGATCAGAACCGTTGAAGTGAGGATCTGCTAGGGCGAGATCCGCGAGATGATCCCAGTTGCACCTGGCCCGATCGAGCCCCGAATTGTAATCAGCGAGTGACGGCAAAATCGACGCAGTGATTGTGAGACTCGGCTCTGATTTATTTTGCGGCGAGATCGTAATTTGAGCTGCAAACTTGCAGTTACCCGCTTTAAGACCGCAGATGGCAGAGAGTGAAAACTGATCTTGGAAACGACGCAGTCTTAAGGTTTGTGCAAGTCGAGCGGACATGAAAGTTATCTCCGATCCCGGATCGAGCAACGCTCGCACGTTAGCGTCGCGACCCGCCGGTGAACGAACCGTGACTCGCGCCGTCGCAAGGAGCACCGGAGTTCGATGCGATAATTCTTGCGAAGCAAACAACGCTACCGCGCCGCGATTACCTCTCGCTTCGACCGGCGAATTCGATTCAGCAGTGACCACCGAGGCGGTAGCGCATGAGCCCGAATCAACATGGAGCATCGAATGATGCCTTTTCTGGCATCGGCGACAAGTGTATTGGCTTGGGCATGAATACAAGGCGTGTTTCGCACTGAGACAATTAATGCACCTTTGGTGCTGTTTGATGAACTCCATGCGTTGACTCGGACTTTTCTTAACGAATTGCGGACACTTACTCAAATAATGACTCGCCTTACAAATCGGACACGAGACTGGAGACGTGGTGGCGGCGTTCACGGAGGCGGATCTTGACGGACGCGTGGGCTTAGCCGCGTTATGAGGCGTGAGTTCTTCCAGGACTCGCACGCGCGCGGAAATAAATCTATCTAAGTCCTCGAATGTTGGAATCGCGGCATCGTCGCCTCCTTTCAGTCGCCACGCCTTGTGCGTGGCGTGATCAAGTCGCTGAGTCACGAGATGAACTAGGACATCACTCAAAATTTCGTCTGACGACCGGTGGAGATTTCAAAGCGACGCGATAGCTCGATTGGCTTTATCCTGTAGTTCGCTAAGCTCGACGGCCGATTCGCGGGTGACGGCCGGCAGGTTGCATAGCGCGGAGACATGCACGCCGACCAGTCGCCGTTTGTTATCGTAGCGCGAGACTAGCAATCGCCAAGCAACGTCAAAATTGTCGGCGGTGACTGGGACAGTTCGTATCGATTCCAGAGCACGCCCGGAGAGACTAGACGCTAAGTAATGCATGCGTGAAAATGCAGTTAACTCTGTATTTTTAATTATGAGCGACGTGAATCGATCGCGAAAACTCTCCCAGTCCTCATGGGCTCCCGAGAACGGAGGTATATTGATAGACGGTAGGTGCGACAAGGAGAGTAACGCGGAGGGATTACCGAACGCCGGTGGACTTGCCAATGAAGTTGAGTTGAGAGGAGGCTCCAATTCTTCGAGGCATTCCGTCATGTAGTCCGCCGTCCTCTGGAAGATCTCCTCGTGTTCCTCGAACTCCGCATTGTCGAAGTAGCCGACGTCCTTCCGTTTGGCCCCTGGGAAGACATGGACCAGCGCAGCGTGAGAGGCCGTGCACAGCGCCCAAGCTTCTTTCAGGCCCGTCAGTCTCGATCGAATTAGCGCTGGCGTATAATTGTTCTTTCCGAGTTTTTTAAAATTCGGAAGAGCTCGCGCCACCGAGTGCAGTTGTGACTGCTGCTTGGCAAGCAACTGCTCACTCATGATGTTGTCAGATCTCAGTCACAGTGGTCACTTCCAAGGTCGTTGAGCTTCCACTATTCCTTCGATCCGGCTCGAAGGACCAACAATGTTGCGTACGCGAAGTGGGTTCCCCTTTTTTCTTTTTCGCGTTGACCGCGGACGCCGGTATCGCTCAGAGAGAGCGCGAAGGAAAGAGCAGCTGACAGGAGAACTCTCGAGAGATAACACTCCGAATGCAGAATCACAAAGTAGTTTATTTGTCGATTACACGTTCAGTCTTAGAAGTTATGTTCGAATTACTCAACCGATCTGTAGTCGTTCTGATTATCGATGTCGTTGACTTCACAATTTTTCGAGGAGTGAACGCTCAGAGTCGGGGCGTTCTTCGCCGAGGCGCGAGATTTCGACACGACCTCTTGGAGGGGACGCTCGTTTTTTCGAAGAATCACGATTGGCCGGTATTGATTTCCGATCGAGTGAAGGAACCGAAATCACGCGGTCAACGGCTGATTGCTCCGATCGATCAATATTGTTAACTGCTGTCCTTGCCTCGCTGGCGGGACATAACAAATTTGTTTTGAAAAAGCGGGTTCTTACCTCTAACGTTTATTTTTGACTTACAATTAATTTGACACGAAATTACCCTTCAAATTATTTGTCTGTTTCTCAACAATGCTAGTAAAATCATTACTTATACGAATTATTTCGAATTACATATGATGTAATAATAAAAAGTATATTGAAATGTAATGAATCTTTTTATTGATTTATATATAGCTATTGTCAGAAAGATTATTATTACTGCAATAAAAAAATACAAACAAATTTTAAATTTATATAACATAATATTTATTTAATATATATACAAATTGATAAAGTATATATGTATTATAATATAATTATCGAACTTTTTTTCGATTTCTAATTTTATTCATAAATAGTTGTAAATTGCGATCAATTGTCAGAAATATTATAATTTATCTTCATGTAGAGAGAAAAGAAGGAATATGACTAACAAATAGGAATGAAAGAAAATAGAACAATCAAGCAGGGGGGGAGAGAGAGAGAGAGAGAGAGAGAGAGAGAGAGAGAGAACGAGAGAGATAATATGACAGACTACAATATAGTGTGTACATACTGTACATTACTCGCACACGCATGAGAGACAAAGATAGTACGATTATGTCAGTCCTTGTCAGCTCAACAGATTGCAGCTCCATCTATCACGACATCACACGACTAATATATTGCTCTACTTTATTCATAAAGCTCGATTTCGCACACACACATATGCACGAAAATGTTAGACAAGCTATTCTTTTTTATTAGGCTTCCAAATTGATATCTAAACATTCATTTATATTCCTTTGTCCAATGCCAAATTCGCCCTGGTATAATTTTGCATATACAAACTGCCAAATTTGTATATTAAGTAAGTAATGTTACGAGCTGACGCCAGAAGCCGATAAAAAATCTGTAATTTCCTAAATTTTTTTGTTTTTTGACATCAAATCGGGCAGGACAAATTTTGTTTTTACGTGTACTTTAATCGTGGAAAAGCATTTTATGTTATATTCAATCAATAAAAAGAATACCTTGTCTAAAAAAAATAATCGTTCGGTCGGTCAAACAGACCAAAGCAGCATCCCCTTAAGGAAGATAGCGCGTAGAATAGTACACTACTATTCTTAGTTATACGCAAACTCTACCGGATCGCGGCGTTAGACTATACGGGTAGCTTCCGTCCTTACGCTTTGACGTCTCGCGGCACTCGAACCTCGAAACCTCTTTCGGCACCTCTTTTATAGTGTCCTGGCGCAGTTTCGCCCCTCTCCGAGTCCGTTCGCCAATCCGCGCGTCGTTGCCCCACCGCGGGCGCTCGCACGAATCCCGTCGCTACGCTATACGGTCGGTGTCGCAAGAGTTCCAAATCTTATTTTCTCGTGATAGGCTTTATTTAACAAGAGTGTTCCTGTTTCTCAATTATTAGATCATAATACAGTAACTTTCGGTAGGCACAAACGAGGATGTTATGTTTGGTATTTACTTAACTTAAAGTAACATTATTTTTGGGAAACGCATTAGGGATGATAAATTAGATAACATTAATCGAAATAAACTTCAATAAGAAAACAAAAACGCAAAACATAGAATCACCTGCGATGAAACAAACAAAACAAAAAACAAACATGCCATTCTTAATTCAATCGCTTACTTCATACGCTGTATTTCTTAAACTTATAACGCGAATCCTTCGTGCGCTCTGTCTCACCTTTTAGGGTTTTATTTAGACTTTCAGCTGGGTTGATTTTAGCGCTTGATTGCGGTTTCTTATAGTCTAATAACTAACCTAGTATATTTTTAGTCCGTCTATCGGGTTTTTTATTCTTATTAATATTTTTGGGTTTTCCTATTTACTTTTGATGGAAACGATTTCTGGGCAGTTTTGCACTTAGTTATCACTTGTGATTCGACCTCCATCATTATTTTGCTCCCATCGGTCCTTTTCCGGATTTTCTCTGATTTTATTGATGGACCGCAGATTGTCATTGCTCTATCTAGTTTCATTCCTCTAGAATGCATTTCCGCCCAGAAAACTGCTCCATCATCAGTTTTTCCTTATACCTTATTTTTCGGGCTTTTGTGACCTTACTCGCTCTATTTATGTATTACTTAACCAAATATGAGTCAATCGAATAAATAGATTATAGCAACTTATTGCCGATCATAAACTAAAAATTTGACTAATCTTTTCCTTAGAACAAAACACTAATAATGGTAAACCAAAAAATATTCATTAAAGATAGCATAATCAAAATAATAATAATAAAGAAAATTAAATATCATCAGGCAAAAATTTAGAATCTCATATTTATATCCTATTATGAATAACTATTCTACTTATCGTTAAACTTAAGTTAAATGTTTATTATTATTCTTACTATTCTACTATATACATTTCTTCCGCTTACGCTTTCTCCTCCGTGCTATTTACAGCTACCTTGGTTTTCCACTCTGGGTCGTAAGGCATCCATGGGCTGCTGACGGGCTGGACGGCATCTGACTGCTGCGCTGGGTCGCGCTCCGCTACCGGTCGCAATGTTACATCTAATGAAACTAAAACTTTGTCGTCATTAATGATCATATTTTTTATTTTTTTTGCAAATGACCAACCGTCTTTTATATGCGATTTCGGTTTTTCTATAGTATTGTGTAGAATTTTATGTATGTACTGTGCAATATTGTATACAGGACTGCCAAGTGCAGATACAATAATTCGGAGAGGAACGCCAGTTTTATGTATCTTCGGCAGCCCGTAGCATTGAGGGAGATTTCCATTTGTATTATTTAATACCTTATACGTTGATTCGTCAATTACATTGTTTTTTTTTTTTTTTTTTTTTAAGTCAGGAAATTTGCCTAAACCAAACTTCGCCGTCCTGACCCCTGAGGGAGGGCCAGGAGGCTTCGTGGTGGATTCCCGCCCGTAGTATCCCGAGGGACTATCGGGCGGGGGACCGACCTAAAACCTGACTGAAGCCCCTGGTCGTATGGGTATTGTCCACCGCGGAACCGCGTTTGCATTACTTCACGGTGGACACCCGACCGGCGTCCTAAGGTAGGACACATCCCCCGGAAGGATACTACAGGTATCCCCCCGGAGAGGACATCCCTTGCCCCGAAAGGGCATCGAGGGGAGCCGGGCTACTAGCTCCCCCGGACTTCCCAGGGTCGACGTGCAATGAGATCGGGGCCCCCACCCCTTTCTCTGCCAACCCGGTAAGTGAGGTGACCGCAGTCACCCACCCACACACAATAACGTCACAGGACGATTACACTACCTAACGTGCACAGAACATGTACACAAACCACAATAATAATAACATAGCAGGGGCCACAGGCCCAGCCCCTAGGGGCCCACAACAAGGCACTATGGCCAACAACAATAAAGGTGGGAGGGTTGT